CTTTTCGAGAAATTCTATGCTAAAAACTTAAAAAACAATAACAACATAAAAAATTAAAAAAAAACTAAAAACTAAAAAGTGAATAAAACAAGCACAAACTAATAAATAGTAAATGAAATTACACCAAAATTTGGTGTCTACACCTGTGAGGAGTAACATGATAGGATGCACCTGAATCAACTACTCAATCAGTGTCATAATGAATAATATTCACCTGACCATCATCACAGAACACAAACATATCATCATGAGCTGCCACAACTACTGTAGTCTCTTCATCACCTTTTTCCTTCGCCTTACCCTTTTTCTCAGCTTGTTCCCGTTTTAGGATTCTGCATTCTTTCATATAATGTCCATTCTTTTTACAATAATAGCATGCAACATTTTTTCGCAACTCAGACCTGCCTCTAGAATTGTCATTCCTGTTGTGAGGTCCTCTACTTTTGCTTCTCCCTCTTTTTTCTTTCTTTTCTGTCACCAAGGTCTGGGACTCATAGACAATTCCTTGTTCCTTTCTCCTGAACTCTTCATTCATCACAGCCTCTTTTGCAATAGCCATAATCAGCACACCATTCGGAGCTGAATTACTGATGGAGACCATAATGGTTTCCCAACTATCCGGTAGTGAACTTAATAATAATAAACCCTACGCTTCATCATCCAGATTCAAATTTAATGTAGTTGCCTGGTTTATCAATCCCTGAAAATTAATCAGGTGTTCAGTCATATCTTCCCCATCCTTATATCTCATCCGAGTAATCTGCTTCAGACAACTAGCTTTGTTCAAACCAGTCTTCTTTTCATATATACTCTCAAGTTTTTTTCATAATATATCAGCTCTGATGTCATTAGCAAAATGTTGAAAAATATTTTGACCAATCCATTTTCTAATATTACCAACAGTTTTTCTGTGCATATTAGCCCATTTTTCATTACTCATATCACTTGGTCTACCTTTATCCCCCAGAACAGGTTCAAACAAATCTCTACAATATAAGTAGTCTTCCATTCTGGGCTTCCAAATTGAATAATTAGTGGCATTCAATTTTATTATGCAACCACTATCCGAATTATCCATTTTTAACCAGTACAAATGAGCAGTCTAACCTGACTGCTCTGATACCACTTGTTGGGAAAGGGGTACTAGAACAGACACACAATATCAGAGTTAGTCCAGGACAAATTTCTCTTTTCCCAAGTACCAGTTAAAAATAGGAATAAACCAAATCACCAAATAATAACACCAATAGTGATAATAAAATGCAAGAAAAAATAAAAGGTACAGGACACCAAGATTTTTACGTGGAAAACCCATATTGGAAAAAACCACGAGACCTAATCCAGTCAAAAATATCTCCACTATAATAATAATGGGAATACACAGGTCTATCCGAAATATTCGGATGACAATAATAGCACCAATATCAACCAAACAAATCTACTATAAAATCACCCCCAAAACTATAACTGTCAAAGAAGTGAATTTGGAAAGGTGCTATAAAACGAAGAGAAAATCCGAAATCTGAATCGGTAAATAAGTAGAGCCTGACGAGAGGATCGCGTGGGTAAAATTTCGTCTCAATCGGGTTCCGAATCACCCTTCAATTAAGACTTTGAAGTTTCTCTCTCACTAGCTCTTTCTCTCTCTTCGTATTTCTCTCAAAGTGGCAGCTGTCTCCTTTTTCTCTTGCATGAGGACCGAAGGAAATTGAGAATTGCTACCTGCGGCTGCTGCTTGCTTTCTATGTAAACTTGAGAAACCCTCAAGTGTTGTATAAGTGGGTTGGCCCACAAATGGGTTGGCCCACATCCAACAAATATGTAGGCTACCATCAAGCTTGGAAGCCTTGGAAACTTTATGGCCTATGAGATCAGTGGCCATCTCATATATTTCTCTGCTCTGAATCCTTAGAAGTCTGATTTCTTCTGCGATATAGTAAAACCTTGAGAAATCATACCACATACTTCCTGCCACAGTCAAGTCAATTACATATTCGACCTCATAAGCTAAATTTGTAATGTGTACTGAGATCTTTGACTTCTTGGTTCTTAATGTCCTGCCAACATCCCTTAGGAAAGAACTAAAGAACTTTAGATCCCCTATGATTGTTTGAAACAGATGCTTTATAGGTGCAATTGATTTAGGATTATGCTTCAGCGTCTCTTTTTGCTTTCTCTATTCTAGAGAAAATCAATGAATCCTAGTGCATTATTTTTTGGAAAATTATGCCTTGGGAATTGGTGATAAATCTCATTGAGGTCTGCCTTCTCAAGCTTAATTTCATCAAGCAAATAAGAAAGCAAAAACTAACTTTGAAGACCATATCTTTTGTGATTATAATGTCAAGAATTGGGTTGTAAATAGATATTACCCCAATAGACACTGAAAAAATGCGTGTGAAGATTAATTTGTCCTTCTCTGTGTTCTCCTTTAGCTGATGTGTGACTAGAGTTGTGAAGAATCTTAAATCTTCATGAAGGGCTCTGATGCGATCTATCTCAAGGTGCAGTGAACTTGCATTAATACGAAGCAATGCCACAATTGATGACTCCGCCTTGAAAAGCAAAATCTTCAAAACCAACATTAAAAACACATCACTTGCCCTGGATTTTGTTACTTCCCTGTCACGGAGAGAGTGAGAGATATTACTGGATTGTTAACCTCCTCAAGAAATTGAAATCTCGGTTGATCACCTTATTTTTTGCTCACACCTTGTGGCAGAGCTTTAAAATATGTTCTCAAGAAACTCACCCTCTCATCAAGGTCCCTATATTTGTCAATCTCAAGGATGAGGTCAGCACCACCATTTACTTGCTCCATAAGGAAAACATCCACCCTTATAAGCCAGACATTCGCAAGCAATTTCATAAGCACAAGGTCAGTATCCATTTCTCAGTCCAACATGCACTTCAAAACTCCCTCTAGGAGGATAGTTAATTTAATATCGGGCAAGACACTCTTAACATCCTCTTCAGACAATTGTCTTTTATTAATGGTGACAATGGACACTAAGAATATTAGCTCCCTGTAAAGAACGTCTAGCTTTGTCCCACCAAGCAGATACTTGACAAAGCCAGATACCAGAAATGCGTATCTTGTGCAATAGGTATCGCTCCTTACAGTTTTGAGGAACTGCAGGCTCACGTCTAGAAACTCTGGAGCAGTTAGATCTACCTTCTGCTGCAAATCAGAAATGATCGCAGAAACCTTTGTTGCCATGTTGGAATCGATTTCTTCTCCGAACCAACACAAACAACACTTATGCGCTGTCTGGATTGCAACATCTCCAACACAAATGAAGAGATCTTCCATTCTTGATTCTATTTCGGGCAAATAACAGTACAAATCCTCAGTGAAACATAAGAATCTTGACAACTGATCCTTTAAGGCTTCAAATTGTGCCGTCAGAGGATAAACTCTGGCAAGTTTCTAGTCAAAACCTGCAGATTGTCTTCCATTCTTGACTCTATTTCGGGCAAATAACAGTACAAATCCTCAATGAAACATAAGAATCTTGACAACTGATCCTTTAAGGTTTCAAATTGTGCCGTCAGAGGATAAACTTTAGCAAGTTTTTTAGTCAAAACCTGTAGATTGTTGGATATAGATGTCACAAACATCTCCCATTGACCCACTTTGTGTAACGGAGAGATTGACTGAGTGAATGGCTTGACAGATAGTGATCATGATCATAAGCTTCTCTGATTTCTGACTTGAGAACCTTGATTTTCTCCAGGGAGCTAGAAACTAAGGCAATCAACTTAAAAGGGACATAATAGAACATATTCTTCTTCAAATGCTCTCTCTAGATCCTTTCCAATATCTTGCATTGCAACTTTGATTATCAAGTCAAAAGACTCCAAATCCTGCGTTACCTTAGTGGCATCAGTCCTCATGGTAACATGCCTCACAAAAAGTAGCAAGAAATCTGAACTCCACTTCAAAGCTATTGATCTTTGTGATCAGTGAGTAGTGAACCCGAGGTAATAGCTGCACTAATGGTTTCAAACAAAAGAATTGTTTTGCTTTCGTTAAAGCTCCCACTTTCCTGTTCCTCCAGAATTTTCTTCTATGATGTTCAAGTTGCACCTTTAGACGATTCAGGTAAGTATCAACAACAGAGATATGCGGATCACTGAAACCTATCATCGAGGCTAGCCAACTTTTGTTGCTGCTTGGAAGTTCCTAAAAATGATCTTTCACTAACCCTCAAGTTTCAAAATTGCAGAATATAACTGACAGCGATGATGGAACTCTTGGACTAAGTTTTCAACGGGACAGGGGGCGTTACAGTGGTAGCAACTTTCATTTGTGCAAGCAATTTTGGGAGGGATAAACAAATGCCACACCAGATTTGATGAAAAGTCTTCTCTAAAGGAAAAATCAGCCACCAAAAGGTTAAACGAGTTGATACGTGTTATTTTTGGCATATATACTATTTCTTGTGTTATTTTTTGCCTATGTACTATTTCTTGTTCTCAATCGACCATCGACACGTAATTTCAGAGTTACAATCAAAGCGCTTTTCCACCGGGTAGTTTGAACTTATTTTTTGTATTTTTTTTTTTTGCAAGACAACTCATGATATATGTCCAATATTAGTTTTAATTATAATACACATCCTTGTTGCATGGTCTCATTTTCCTTGAAAATTTTAAGGGGGAATTCCATGCTGTGAACATGTTTTGTTTGTTCAACCATCAATACTGTGCATCATACATGAGCTTCTGTTCTCGTTGATAGGAGAGAGATGTTTGAAGATTCAGGTTATGCGACATCTCTTTGCTACGTAGCTTCAGAAGCTTACATTCAAATACAAGGCTAGCTCGCATAACAAGAAGAAGAAAAAATATCCAGATTTTGGAACTCAATACAACATACGAAACGAGAATTAAACCTAACATGGAGTACAACCAAGTGTTTTTCTAACCCCTCCCCTCCCCCCACCCCCCAACCCCCGGGGGGAACCCAAGAAATAAAACAAAAAAATTGCTGAAAGTTTAACCAAGGAGCAGCATTGAAATCACAAGATAAGAATTTTAACCAAGGATACATAACCCAAGAAAATATAGCAGCAGCTTGATACTATGGCAAATAAGAAAGCAGAGAAAAATCTGATCCAGTCTCCTGATTACGACACTAAAAGTAATTAGAGTAATCTATTCTCAACATCTAGGCGAAATCAGTCTATACCCGAAAAGAATCTCGAAACCCAAGAATCTCGAAAAGCATTATACATAGACAGGATGGACATGCAATTGCAACAAAATATCCCAAAGCCGAAATGATTGAAGCTGCTCATTATCTTCCAAAAAGATGTGCCACAACTCCCATCTCTGTAGAGAGATTTTGACATTCCAGTTCAGACGCTTGTTTCATATAGCAACTGAAAGCAACATTGGCATTGTTTAGGAGTCTAGTAAGCAAAAGAACAAACAAAAACCCAAATTTTTTAAATGAAGCACAATAAAGAGTAGAAAAACCAAGGTTTCTTTCAATTTGTTGTCACATTGCAATTTGTCTTTACGTTCATCTACTCACTTCAAAGATGAACCCCCATATCTCCTACACAAGGTCCCTTTTTCTGGAAGCATGATTAAAGTACTCATGTAGAGTATTTAAAATAGTTGGAAACCTATAAGAGCATCCCGTTAAAAGCAAGGTGCTTACCATCATTGCTAAGCCATAGAACATATATACCTTGTATGCACAGAAGTGTGTGATTGCACAATTTCAAAAATCAGTAAATCCTTATTTGCTCAAGTACTCTTTGACTGTTTTTCTCATTTTTCCTATGAAAGTTGATTGATATGTCTATGTTAAATCTAATTATAAACAAAAACATGTATCGGCTTTAACTTCTATAGGGACTGATTAGCACTACTTATTCATGTGAAAATATCAATAACAAGAAAATAATTGGTTGGAACTTCACAAAAAGTATTATACTTCATGTACACCTTCATCTCCAGACTAGTAAAAAATGCAAAACAAAACTAGTGATAATAAGATATACTGTAACTAATATTCAGAAAGAAATATGCATCGGGTAAAGTGGCAACAAGGAAAGAGTAGGAAAAATAAGAAAAATAGCTATATCCCCTGCCAGTTTTCACCATGGACTTATAAGTAGAAATAGGTAAACCAAATGAAGAACTGCAGCAGTAAAACCCAAGAAAATATACACAGTAGACAATGTCAGTAACCTTCAATTCCTTGAAGCATTGTCAAGGAACTGTTAACTGATCAGTTGTAAGCAACAGCACTTTTTAGTTAAGCAAGCCTGGCTTCATTACATGAACACTAAATCAGTAAAAGAACAGTGATTAGCTTAAACAAAAAATTATAATACTAATAACAGTTGGCAAAGAACCAAAATTTCAAAAACAGTAAACCTCATGCAAAAGGAGGATAAACTATAGCAAACATTCTCACACACAGCATGGCAACAAGAAAAGTACTCTGCAATACAATTTTTAACCTATCAGGCTAATGAAATTGAGAATTGAATCTTTCAAATCTGAAAGTTCAAAAGCCTTAATCAATAAACAGTAAATAGTCAGCATGGCATTTCATGTGCAAGAGTATCAGCCAAGGACACATAACTGATGGTAGGATATATTGTTGCCAATATTTAGAAAGAAATATCCATCCAGTGGCAAAAAGAAAAGACGAAAAAAATTAGCAAAAGAGCTAAATGCACTGCTAGTCTCGCCGTGGACATCTAGTAACTATACATAAAATTTCAAACCCATCAGGCTAATGAAATTGAGAATTCAAAAGACTTTTTAATTCTGAAAGTTCAAAAGCCCCAATCAGTGAAAAGTACATAGTCAGGATGGAATTTCATGTGCAAGAGTATCAATCAAGGATATCTAACTGAAGCTGAAACATTATCCGGATAAGAATTCCAAAAAACGCTTGCTCAAAACTCTCTCTTTAAGGAGCTTCTAATATTTGGCAACACCGTTGCAGCAGAAACCAATTCAAACAAATATAGGCATCACCAACTGTCAACTAGCACAAATACAAGTTCCTTAAGCTCAGTAATATTCTTCGTTGCTGAAGCCACCCGCTTTACTGAGGGATGGAGCATAACAAACCATTCAAGGAATGAAGGTAACTTTCGGTTACATCTATCCAGTGAGAAAGAGACAGACAGTGACAAAAGAAGAAAAGGCTCAACCGTTCAATCCATTCCTGAAATTTTGAGCTTCCGAATCGTGAAACAGTGGGCATGTAATCATACCATAATCAGTTCAATGTTGTCTCAGCTGACTAATTCTGTTTAAAATCGAACAATGAAAAGCCAAAAACTACTTCTGAAGATGATAATTCTTCTACAATTCTAAAATGGTTGAGAAGTCTACTAATACTAAACACATTGGTGTGGTATGCGTATTGCTCCACCATTATAGAGCACAGATGCAAATCCAGCTTCCCTCAGCCTCCTCACTCTGTATCCAGGCCAAACAAACCAATGATGGACACTCAATAGAAAATAATATCATCATTATGACAGCGACATGAAAGCAATCAGATAGATAAAATATAAATCCCTCTTTGCCTTTTGCCTCCTACAGGAATAAGCCCCTAACTGTGCAAAAGAGCATATGGGCCTAGAAAGAGTGCAGAAACTCATTGTAAAAGATTATGAGCGACTATGTATCATCTTTGTTGCCTCAGTTCCAAAAAGGATACCCAGGAAAGCTGTAAGCACCAATTAAGCTATATTATTTTTGTTAACCTACTACCAACATCACTAAGTTGCAAATATGTGTCCTACATTATAAACATTTCTTAAAAGGTTAATGATGGTTAAAATTTACAAATAACATCACAGATTCAAATTTTATTTGGAAAAATTCTTAAAAGTTAACAGTTACTGTCAGACTGATGCGAAAAACTTTTGAATCTCTAGAGGTCAGTTGAAAGCCAGAGGCAAACAAGACTACTTGCGGCAGTTCTCGGGCAGTCTGAATGTGGAGATATCAAGGAAGTTCATTTTATTCTGACTTCTAGCAGTGCATATCCTGAATGTTTTGCTGCCATACTGGAAGATATTTGAAGCTCGATGTGCTCTTTTAGCTGATCATGGGTCCATAAGTGGTAATGCAAGAGCAACTGTGTGTATCAAGTACCAGAGTGAGACTGAATCTGAGGAAAATGGTCAGTAAATGATGCATTTTCATGATGCCCATTGTTACAATGTCTTGATTTGGACACTAAAGCTTATAATGGAACTTGATCAAACATTACCTAGTGGAAATACTAGATGTTCAATGAGTGGAAATGTTTAAGCCAGTGTATTCTACAATGATGAACTTCTTGTTCATCTAATTTATGGGCTTATAATTTCCCAAATATCTAAATTTCTAATAACAAGTATCTAAAATCTACTACACAGACAGGGATTTCTCTACCTGGAATGGGAAAGGTTTCTCCATCACCAATAATGTCCATAAAACATAAAGAACTATCACCATAATCTGCCATTTGTGCAATCAAAATAACTAGAGGAATGAGAAAATGAGGCCATACAAACCAAGCACAGATGCATTTCCAGCTTCCCTGATCCTCCTAACTTTGTTCTAAGCCAGGTCAACAAAAAAACATATGGACCCTCAATAGACAACATCATCATTCATGACACTATTAACTCGAAAGCAATCGAATCGATAGCAAGCTAGGGCAACCATAACTGGAAATGTCTATAGTCCATAAGAGAAATACTGAAGCTTAAATTCACCCAGTATGTATGATCTTTAGTGAAATTCACAGAAAAGAAAGAACCTTATAAATTCAAGAAACTCTCAACTAGTAGAAGAAATGAAGTATACAACAAAACTCACCACTGAAATAAAGGCTATAAATTGGGTTCTACCAAGAAGCTTTCTTGATGCCCATCAAGGCACCCCTCGAAGCTAATTCGCGGAAGCAAATACGAGACATCCGAAATAGCTGATAGACGGCGCGTGGGCGACCAGTGAGAATACAACGATTTCGAATCCGGGTAAAGGAGCTGTTTCTGGGCAACTTGGCCAGCTTATAGCGGTGCTTTTCCTTCAGCTCATTCGGAAGTTCAGGATCTCTAACGAGGGCTTTGTAAAGCTTTCGCTTCACTTCGAATTTCTCAGCCATTAACCGGCGGTTGTGATCTTTCATACAGCGCTTCTCCTCCGCCAAAACACTGAAGTTCCTTGCCATTCCTATATGCTGGGAGAATGGAGAAGAAAATGCATCACCCGCCGTCATCATGGTTTTCTGTCTAGCCATCTCTTGGCAGAAAGCCGCTCCGATCAACATTTTCGTCGGCCGGCGTCCAGAGCAAATAGGTTCGGGTTCTCGCTTGGGTTTAGGCTTCAATTAGGTTAATTAGCTTTGGGCCGTGCCTGGGCGTCAGTTGCCATGGGTCGAAGGTTGGCCGGCCATATGTCTACAATGCTAATGGGGTACTATTGGGCAGGAATGCTAAGAGAGTCACTAATAGACCAACAATATTACACTGTTAATCATCAAAAACTGAACCATAACAAATAGGGAAAAATACACTTTTTGTCTCCAATATTTAAGGTGTTAACCAATTTCGTTCCTGAAGTTTCATTCCAAACATATTTCATCCTCATAATTTTATAATTTTGACCAATGTTGTTCCTAAAGTTTGTGTAAAACACATTTCATCCCCATAGTTTCATAATTTCTACCAATTGAGGACAATTAAATGATTGTTAACTAATTTGGACATAATATCATCACACGTCCTATTAATAATTGTATTATTAATATTTAATTTAGTTATTGATTAAATTACATAAATAAGAAGTGTTTTTGGATATGAGACTATCTCTTTGTTTTTTAAAATTATGATATGATATATTTGAGATAAAATAAATAGATTGAAAGATAAATAGATGATTGAAAAACGTGTACATGATGCAACTGTTAGTGCAAAATGCACAGCAGCAAAACAAAATTTTGCAAATAAATGACAATCCAAACCATTCTTTCTTTCACATTAATATTTTTCTCCAATTAGTTGTAATGGAGTTGTTCGACATTTTTTTCCAATTGGTTATAGTGGGGTTGTTTGTGTTCCACGACTTCATTTTGTTTGTTTGTTTGTTCAATTGTGATTAAGATGAGAATAATGGTGGTTAAAAATTTCTTAGGTTTTTTTTTGTACTAAAATGAGAAAGTGAATTAAGAAAAGATTTTTAACCTTTTTGTTGATTCAATTTTTTTTTTTTTACTAATGGGCATCCTATGGTCAAGTGACAATATTCTATTCAAAATCATTGACAATCCATCAATTGTCCTCAATTAGCCAAATCTATTAAACTTTGAGGATGAAATGTGTTCGTGTGAAACTTTAAAGATGAAATTAGTTAAAATTATAAAATTACAAGGATGAAATATATTTTGCATGAAACTTTAGGGACGAAATTGGTTAACGCCTTAAACATTAGGGATGAAAAGTGCATTTTACCCATAACAAATAATTTGGTCAGTTTTTGTCCATTTTGTAGTTCATATCTTTGTAAACTTGTATGATGAACAAAATCATTGACAATGGAATTTCCAAACACTTGGACAGGGCATGATATTTTTATGTGAAATTAATAGGATATTGATGTATGAGATCGTATGGTAGTATTTGAACTCGGGAATTTTCTTCTAGTTTTAAACTATTGAATATTTGTGATAATTTGCTATTTCACTAATTCTAACTGTAGCTATGATTCAGCAAATTTATATTGGATTTTTCTAACGAGTGCCCTTGTTAATATATCTATTACTCTCTCTGGCCCAAACACTTTGTTGTGCTTTGGGAGTTGAACTTTTTATGTGCAGTACTAAGTTTCAGCATTGTTTTCCAATTTTGCCACTTCAAAATCACTATTAGAAACAAGAATGTGTGGTCATTAATGGTCAAGGAGACAGAAATGACATGTGGGGCCAAAGTTACCTACAAGAAGTCCAATTTGCCAACGAGAGTGATATTCACGCATCACTTTAGAACTTGTGTGTATCTCATGAATGTCTTGCAACTTTTGTTAATAGCGAATGAAAATCAAGGGACCCACCAATAAAAGTTAAGAATGAGGAAATCTTGAAGGGTAAAAATTGAAACAAGAGAAATTTTGTTTTCTATTTTGGGTATGTGACATATAGTTTGGGACAAACCAAAATGGAAAGTATGACACTTTCAATGGGATGGATGGACTATTTATCTATATATATATATACACACACACACACACATACTAACAATTATTATTCTTTCATGCATTTATATATTTTTCTATTTAATCTTGCCTACCCTCTCTTGTGTTTATTTACTTTCTCTAATTAATCTTATAATTCAAAAAATATAACACTGAAATATATCTTAACGTGGGCACCCATTAGACAAACTGATTTATATTTCATATCCTACTCTATTTCGTTAACCCTAACGACAGGTATGATTCAGCAAATTTATGTTTAATATCCTACTCTCATTTAAGGGGATTAATTAATAATGTTTAATATAATATCAGAGTATACAAGTTAATTTAATCCATGAAAAACGTATACGCCACTTTATCCAAAATTAAAAAAGAATTTTAAATCCTAGAATGCTAGTAGTCCACACATGAAATGCATAATCAAAACATATGACATAATTAAAACACTAACACATTTCGAACATTTTTTTCCTTTCTGTACACTTATAAAACCATCAATTCATTATTCAATAATAATAACAGGTTGCTCCATGATCAATTACGAAAGCTCTAAAAGTTGAGAAACAAAAATAAGTACAGAGAACTAGAACACAAATTATATGAGCATAGAAAAAAATTGTGAAAAGAGACATAAAAATTGATAGCAGTAGAGTTAATGGAATTAGTGGTGGTAAGTGTAAAATTTAAAATGGTAAACAGGAGTTAGGATTAACTTGTTAAGTTTTTAAGCTAGTGAAAAGAATATGAATGTAATAATTGGTCACCTAATTTAATTTGCTAATACATGACTAAATACTTATGGTTAAGGTTCCAAGCTTAGGTTAACAAAACCAACCCTACACATGTGCATGTACAGGTGACTAGGTTTGAGTAACCACAAATTTTAAAAATCAATAATCATACCCCAAACTGTTTTTTTTTTCATGTCAATTCAGTCAGTGTCCAAAGCATTACAGAATTTCAAGTCACTACCTTTTTTTTCGATTGGACCTATTCAATTTTCTTAATTACCCACTTATTCGGTTTTTTCTACTTTTTGTTTTTTGACACCTCTACTATTAAGTAAGACAATACTATAAAAAGATTGTCTTACTTTTTTGTAGAATGGGTGTAAAATATTTACCCGAAAAAAAAATTGGGACATACACATGAAGCACGATCACTATCAGGCAACTGGTTATAGATCAATCAAACTATGGTTGAATTTAACTCCCACATTTGCAAGAAAATTAGCACATTTATTTCCTTCTCTATAATTGTGTTAGAGGAGCACATCTATTCTTTTTGGGAAAAAATTTGCAACCTTCCTGATAAGTGCTTTTTTTGCGTGTTTTTAGTGTATTTTATTAGTTAGTTTTGGAGCGTTTTAATTAGTTTTATAGCTAATTAACTAAGTTTCTAGTGAAAATATGCATTTTATGGTTTAAGTGGTAAAAATTGCAGTTCTATTGATTTTAATGATGAAAACTTCATGTTTTGGTAGGTTTAAGGATTCAATCATCAAATGACATGAATTGAGAAGATAATTGAATGATTGATGATGGTTTGAAATGATGAAAAGAGAATATGAAATGCAAGAGATGAAATGCAATTAAAGAAAGTTTTTCAGTTTTAACACCTTGTGGTATTTCGGCTATATCATGAGCTATAAGTATCGAATTGAGGTGATTTGTGATGACCCCACCTCCCCCTAGGGTGTACCCAAGGATTTGGCGGACCGCCTGCTTAGCTCTCGTTAAGACTCAGTCACGCACCATGAAATTTACAAATAACAACCTCAATAATAAAAGCGATATCAATTACAACCTTCAATGTGTATACTGATGGACCTCCAATGCCCATACAATCTATGAATATAGCCAAGGAGTCAAACTTGCAAAAATCAAACCAAGCAAGCCAGCTAGATATCTATGGAGTGCTCACATGAGCAACTAACAACCTTAAATGAAATCGAGACCTTTTCCAAATTCCACTCTCACGTTCTCATCCCTGTAAGAGGAATACAGCCGGTCTACAACGATACACATAAACATGCAAATCCACACGCAGGATGAATTATTTCAAGTTCACGAAGGTCGAGTGCACGTAAAGGCACACTCGCCTAGACAAGATCAAGTCACAAGTAAGCCCAGTATATCATGTTTTCAAGCATTTCAAGTCAAGATACAAGTTACTTATAAATCAAATTGCTGGTACATGCATGAACAAGATATCAAAAGTTTAGTCGAGTTAGGTCAAGTGCGATAAAGTACACACTTACCTATGAAACAACAAATTATGTGCCTAGCAATTTCTAGCAATAATGAGCACGAAACATATAGTTGGAACACTCACCACGGCAATAAGCTTAAGTGTTTGCCTCAGGAGCACTTCCAGCCTCACCTTTAAGCCCTAAAATCAAGTATGTAAAGCACCATGAGATCCACTACTCCAATCTACCCAGGTTTTGGATGCTATTCTTCATATATGGTTTATTAAGAAAGAAAAAAGGTGTTCTATACCATGAGATCCAATATACCATGGATGCTATAAAGAAAGAAAAAATTTATTAAGAAAATTGTTTGTTATAAATGTGGAAAAATAGGACATAAAGCAAACAAATGTAAATTAAAAGAAAAAATTAATGAAATTTGTGCAGAAGATGAAGAAATAAAGAATAAATTAATAAATTTACTAATAAAAGAAAAAAATAGAAAATTCTAAAGAAGAATTAGTTAGATTTCATTCAGGAACATGGTCTGATCCTCAAAAGAATTATTCAACAATTAAAAAAAAATTTATCTATAGTCTTATGTATATCAAAATTTCAAGATGATTTATATAATAAGAAATTTTTAATTTGAATAGACTGTAAATCTGCAAAAGAGATTTTACAAAAAGATGTTCAAAATATAGTTTCAAAACAAATATTTGCTAGATGGCAAGCTATTTTATCTGTTTTCGACTTTGAAATTGAATTTATTAAAGGAGAAGGTAATTCTCTCCCTGACTTCTTGACAAGAGAATTTTTACAGGGCAATGGAACGGGAAACTCACAAAGAATATATTCAAAGACTACGAGCTGAAAGAGATAATCCTATTCTTCGAAGAAAAGATTCAAACATTTCACACAGACATTTTACATATTATATTAAAACCTCTGAAACCGAAATTCAACCCATTCCTTATCATCAAATTCGAAACCATGATACAGTACATATCAGACATAGCTTTTGGGCTGCCACTACTCCAAAAGAACAAGCTTTT